GTAAAAAGGATAAATAGGATGTTAAAAGAATGTCTAACAAATCTCATTAGAGTCCAGAGAAGGATGGCTAGGCTTCCTTCCTTTGCTTTGCTTCAGCCTGCTGCACCCCATACAGGGAGAGATTTACCCACTATGAGACTATGTTTGGAAGAACTCCCTCACTGCTTCCCAGGCTCAGAGACCAGCAGTTGGCTGAATTCTCTAATCATTGCTTTCTCAAGGCACTAGAGATCCTCCAGTTCTCCACACAGGTTGTTAATTAAACTATCTTAGAGACCCAGCTGATCTGTGTGTTCACCACACGTTTCCCTTTGTTACAGTACAGTGATGCCATCTGGGACAAGTGAGTAGCCAAAGGGGCATGGAAACTAACCTGTCAAGGGCCCTACAAAGTGATTCTCTCCAATCCTATGATGGTGAAAGTAGCTGGCATCACACCATGGAACCACCACATCCAGGTCAATACAGCAGAAGCCACAGATGCTGCTGCCAATGGACTGCATCTGGACTATGATCTCCTTGAAATGAAGGTTTCATGGAGTCTAGGTCCTTCCACCCCCCTGCCCCTCTACCTTCCCCTGAGACTCGTGTTTTGCACTATGGGTATGAAGACAGGGACATAATCCAACCCCCACTGCTCTCAGGCCTGGACTGGAAACTGAGGAAGACAGGCACAGGGAAAGTATTAGCTAGTGTGACTACAGATCAGAAATCCATATTCCATCCTGACCTTTGCTCACTGATGCCCACTTTAAGTGCCTGGTTGTATGGAGAAAAGGAAAGATGGGAATTTGTCTTCTGAGATAGGAATACAGAGTTTACAACTCTATGCATACACTACAGCTGGGCTCTTAGTTTCCAGAACCAAGGGAGTTTCCATTGTAAAGACTGGGGTTGTAAAACTGAGGCTTCCTGAATAATTCCTTTAAAAAGATTCTGGCTTTGGGGAAACAGGAAAATCCTTGGGAATCAGACTCCATGCCACAGGATAGAGTTTATCACTCACAGCCAGAAATCAGCCAGGATTGCTGGTTATACTTAAGACAAACGGGCCCCTGTACTACATAGGGATAGAAACTAACCAGGCTGTTAGCCCATTGACTGACAACTCTCTGTGATGGGGACAGCCCAGATTAATGTTTGAGGACTTACAAGTGGCTGAAACTTGTCTTGTATACAAAAACCGTTAACCTAGGCACGTCCCCTGTTTCTGATGCCTGCTATTGTATTCTGGCATTTATGGGTTAATTCATCTGGATAACAGCAATATTACTGAGTCTCTGAGACTACTTGGTGGGCATGTACCAATAGTTTGACTAAATGTGTCTATTCTGATGACTCCCAAGCTAAGAAGACAGGTTTATCAGGACCTGGAGGTATTAAAAACAACAGTTAGATTTGCTTGCAGAAATGGTCCTACAAAATTAGAGGAGAGCCTTAGACTTCCTAGGAGACAAAGAAACTGTATATGGCTTTGGGAGAGACCTGTTGTTTCTATGCTAACTGATCAGAAGTAATTAGAAAAAAAACTTTTACCATGATTTTAAAAAAAAGAGACAGAAACATTGAACAAATAATTGGTGACAGTCTCTGTTCTCTTAGACCCCCTAAGTAACTACTCTATCAACACTGGCTGGGCCTTTAATTTTTATTCTGGATCGATCAATGGAGAGGTACTTCATCTTAAACTATATGGTCAATTATGTATGCGTTCAATGAAAGTAATGTTCCTTCGGACCAACTACACCTCTCTAGAACAGATGAGTCCACTATTTGACCCATGAACTAAGACCAGTGGGAAAGTAACATGGCCCCAGGCTTATAAGGCCTAGAGACCTTAGCACAACTGACTCCATGATGGAAGTACCATTCAGGTTATAAAATTCAGCATGTAGATACCACCACCTGCCAAATCTAAAACAAAAATCTAATCCATCAAAGGCTATAGTTCTGGGACAGTCTCTAAATGTACTAACCTTGCTTTTTGGCTTCTGTAGTTCTGCTTCTGGTTACCTGTCTTTTTTTAACTGAAGTATGTCAACCCAGGACAAGGTTCTGTGTTTTGTGTTTTGAGATAGTCTTGGGGCTACGCTGGGATTCCAAACACCCAGTGTAGTTGCCAGCCAGCTACTAAAGACTTTCTATTGGCTTAAACACATGTCTGAGTAGTCTTCTCTGGTGAATACCCTACAACAAATTTGAAGACCAGAACCTGAGTTCATACACAAAAAAGAAAGGAAGAAGAAAAAGTAGTGAAGGAAAGAAGAGAGAGAACGGGGAAATGAAAGAGGGAGAAGTGGAAATTGTTTCATTTGCTACCATTGGTGACATTGGATCTTTTCATTGTAGAGATGAGATAGTGTATGTGGTTGGCCTTTTCCCTTCAGTTAACTTTCTCTTAAGACTTTAAGGTTAAGACATTTGTCACCTTAAGGGCTATTTAGCCTTTGAACATTCTTTCTTCTTTTGCAGATATTCCTATTTTAGAAAGAAATGGGTAGAGCAATAGAACATACATGACATGGAAGCAAAAGGAAGTTATTGAAAGTGTGTGAGAAAGAATGGGGGAAGGGGAGGAGAATCAATAAAAACAAATTATGTTTGAAAATGTCACAGTGAACCTTAACACTTTGTATGTCAATTTAAAAAAATAATCCAGCCATGTGTGGTGGTGCACACCTTAAATCCCAGCACTTGGAGGCAGAGGCAAGTAGATCTGTGTGAGTTTGAAGATAGCCTGGTATACAAAGTGAGTTCCAGGACAGTGAGGCCCTGTCAAAAAGAAAATAGAAAAGAAAGAAAGAAAGAAAGAAAGAAAGAAAGAAAGAAAGAAAGAAAGAAAAGATGTATTTTTTAATGGAAGTGAGACAGGTCAGTGGAATCAAAATCCTCTATAAAGACACTTAGATGGTAGCTAGTTAAACACTGTTAGGTACTGCGAAGAATTTAGTTTTGTGTTGGGTCTTAATTGCAGGCATCTTTGCTTGTTTGAGACAGCATTTTACAATGCAGCTGTCGTAGTACTCACTAGAACAGGCTGGCTCACAGAAAAACACCTGCCTCTGTCTCCTGAGTGCAGGGATTAAAGGTGTGTGCCACCATGCCCAGGTATTATTGTTTCAATAAGTTGGGGGGTTGGATTTGATCTTCCAATTGACAGCAGTCAGACCCTTCCATTGTCTCTACTTGCCTTGATTGGGAAGCTGACAGTAGAGCTGTCAGTCTTTTGAAGATAGGCAGGACTGTCATCACAGCAACCATGGCACTATGTCATAGGTGTTGCTCAATTCAAGATTCTGAATCCAGAGGTCTTGTTCTAGTCAAAACTTTTCCCAAGCAACTTGCATTGGCTTTTGAACAGTTCATTCTGGGCAAAAGAAGCTTTGATAAACTCTATATTATCATGTGCCTCTTCACTTGGGAAAGGAGAGGGAGTACTTCCATAGTGGCTAAGGCCAGGCTTGGGACTCAGTTCATAGGGAAGATTTGCAAGTGGTGAAACTAGAAATTATGCACAGGCAGCTTTAGAAATGATGGAATTACATTCTGTAGACAAACATGCTCATCCTTTTTCTTGCTATAAAATTAAGGTATTCACTACATTTTTTAAAGATTCGTCTGACAGGTTTCTTATTGTACACTACTCACCCCCACACCACACTCCCAGTATTACATCAGACTCAGTAATGGCTTCTAAATAGACTGGGTTTATATAATTTTTATTATTCATATTTTTGAATTTTTGAGATTTCTTACATGAGTACTGTATTTACATCATGCCCACCCCTCCCTTCCCTCCCAACTCTTCCTTTGTCCTCCCAAATTCACAATGTATTTTTCTTTAATTATGATTGTTACATCTATATTAATTTATATACATATGTGTATAGAGAAATACAGCTGGGCTGTGGTGGCACATGCCTTTAATCCCAGCACATGGAAGGCAGAGACAGGCAGCTGTCTGTGAGTCCGAGGCCAGCCTGATCTACATAGAGAGTTTCAGGATAGCCAGGGATGTTACACAGAGAAACCTTGTCTCGAAAAGCCAGAAACCAAACCGAAACAACACCAACAACAAAACATTAAAATACCAAAGAAGATATGAATGAAGAAGATGGCTGCAAATTCATGTTCATTGACATACTCTTTAGGCCAGCTGTAAACTGTGGGAAAGAAAGTGAACTGCTTGGAGAAATATGAAATTAATGAGCTCTGGAGATGATCAGCAAAAATCATATGGCCCTTGAGAGACAAGAGAGAATATCAGTTATTGGCAGCTCTCCAGACCCTCTGAGACTTTATTTGACTACACTGTCTTCCTTTAGATTCAACAGGAAAAAAAATAAATGTGTGCTTAAAATGTTCACACAGCCACATGCACATTTTGAAATCCTTGTTTAAGATGTATTCCTTTTTAGTTTATGTGCGTTTGGTGTTTTGCCTGCATGTATATCTGTGTGATGGTGCCAGATCCTCTAGAACTGGAGTCTAAGACAGTTGTGAGCTGCCATGTGAGTGCTGAGAATTAAACCTGGGTCCTCTGAAAACAGCATCAGTGCTCTTAACTGTTTGAGCCATCTCTCCAGCTTCCTTATGAATCTTTTCAAGCCAATTTATGTGGGTTTTAGTTCTTTGCAACGCAAAAAGACCTGACTAGAAAATGAATGAAAAGACAAAAATAACAATAAAGGGTGTGGAGTAAAATAAGTGCAGAATAAAGGAAAGACAGGGCTGTCAGACTCTGAAATGAGCCCTAACAAACTGTCTTTCTTGACTTGGTTCATAGTCTCTTGTAATTCAATCACTGTCTTAGATCCCTGATGTTTTCACATGAGAATGAACACTTGCTTTCAACCCATTTGGTTAAAATGTCATCAGCAGGGAGGCAAAAGATGAATTTCAGTGTCTTTTTTTAGTTCTTTTGTTTGTTTGTTTGTTTTTCCTCTTTCTTCTCCCCATCTCCCATCCCCACCTCCAGAGAAGCAAAACACACACTCATACTCTGACAAAACATAAGCAAGTTAACAATTGCTATGTACAGCCAATTATCTGACTAGTGAAAAGTCAACTAATTAATACATGCATATACTTACACAAAGTAAATTTTTGCCCATCATTCTCTTCCTTGTATATGCTTACATTTGATTCTAATGAAAGATACTTTAGGACAGTTTTTTTTAAAAAATGGCACCGCTGCTTACGGCAGAAGTAAGAGCTATGATACACCTCCTTACTATCTTCTTCATGTGCAAGTAAATTAAATGCTAAGCCTTTAATTCTTAGAAATAGTCATACAATTGTTTGCCTAGCTCCTGTCAAAAGTCCTTAGTACTTTTGGGATTGGTCGACCTTTCTATGAACCTCCTAGGGGACTGTTGTCAAGTCCTCCCACTCAGCATGGTAAAATGTCTGCAAAGCACATGCATGCTTCCTACTCTAATCTGTTGCTTGTTTATCTAGGTGAATACAAATAGCAAGGTACATAGTCAAGTTCAATGTGTATTACTAAGAAACAGCTTGGAAGGCATGGGTTAGTATTTCTCAACGCTTTTAATACAGTGGTTATATTTCATTGTATTCACTCCAGAAATATGCCTCTACTGCCTATACTGATGCACACCTTCCATTAAATGGCATCCACTCCACAGTCCAGAGAAGACTGGTAGACAGATAGATTGGAGTGGTGTGTAAGAAGAAAACCAATGAAGGTTCAAGTGTTTATGATGAGAGAAGTGCATTGTCCAAGATTATACAGACCACTCAAGAGCCTGGAGTGATTAGAGTGTCTATTCCTACGGGATACAATTGGCATGGAAAAAAAGGAAGGAGACGGTTTGAGGGGTTTGTATTTCCTGGATGATTTAAGTATCACTCACGATAGAAAACATACTCAGTGTAAGAGGTCCAGATCCTGTCATCTGTTTGGTCATGTGTGACAGTGCAGGTGCCAGTGGAGTTGCATGCTACCATGTGAAAGCCAGCATCAGCTAGTTTGTCGAAGGCTTGTTCCAGAAAATTGAATTTGAGGTAGTATCGAGAAGTATATCGCTCAGGAGGGCGGTCTGGGTCTCTGCTCTCATTCAGGGTGTCTCCAAACACTTCTTTGGCTAATGAGATCTTACCACACACCATGATTCTGGCCACACGGCGGAATTTGGCATCTGTTTGACTATCCCTGCCCAGAGTATAGGAGCCTCGGTAGCCAATAGTGATGAAGCCAGCCTTCTTGAGCTCAGAACCAGTGGCAGCTGTCAGAACTACGGAATTATCAGGGCCACTAATATGGATAGTATTAGTTGAAGAGAAATTAAATGTGGTGTCAATGCCGGGTGAAAGCTCTTCTAGATCAATTTGACATGAATCATTGCCAACTGAGTTGAGCTTGTTCATTTTAACAGCCAACATCTTGGCCAGTTCTGGCAACTTAAAGTATTCTGCTTCTCTATGGAGCCGGCCACACTCTGGAAAGTGGTCAGGAAGCACTACTTGCAGGTCTCTCATGTAGTCTAGGACATAACGAAAGAGAAACCCATCTCGATCTATGAAGAATCTCCCTTTGTTGTCCTGGATCAGTGAGCAAGGGTTCTTTACACTGAACATTTCCCAGAGCCGGGAACCAGGAATACTGATGAGAGTAGGATAGCGAGTTATGTATACCTGGCCACCTACATTGAGTTCAATTATCTCAGGAAAATTGCTGCATTCCTCAGATGGTTTGACACAACTTGACTTTTCTGGCATGGCCATGTTGACCTGAAAAAACAAAACATTACTTTTTAGTAAGAATGTATAGTATGGGGAGTCTGTTCATTTTCTTCATACATATATCAAGAAACCCAAGTCTGGGGAGATTGCTTAACACATAAAAGCATTAGCCATGTAAGCCTATTGACCTGTCTGATTCTGATCCCAGGTCAAAATATGGATTCAGTGCCATATTCCTGTAATAACAGATGCCTATAAGAGGGGGGAGCAAGCCAGGAACAGGAGAATTTCATAGAAGTTCATGTGGCAGCTAGTGTAGAGTGTGTAAGACAACAGAAACAAGAGATTCCATCTCAACAATGTGTAAGGGGGAGACTGAGTCCTGAATCTTGTCCTCTGACCTCCAAATTTAGATCATGGTATACACATGTGCATACACACACACTACACACACACATTTATTAATTGATTGAAAAAGAAAAAATAAACTTATACAAAAGCATAATCATTTACTCATTAGCTATGTCAACTTGAGGATGGCAGCATAGAAAAACTTCATGGTTTGGCTTTGCAATCTTTTCCCCGTTTTTGAGAGCTTCTGTTACCGTAGGCAAGAGCTCTACCATTGAGCAACACCCCAGGCTTTTCTATGTTTAAATTTTATTTCCAAATGCCCATGTGTCAGACAATATTTGTCATTTCATGGCAGGTTACCATGGACCTACTTTCTTCCATGTTCCTGTTTTTCTGCTTTATCTTCTCAGCTCAGTCACACCTGTCCCTGACCCCGACACAGACAACCATGCTGGTCCATTTAGTGTGCATCTTCTCATTTGTATGTATCATTACAAAATGAATTTTATGGTTTTAAATATATATGCTATTATGTTATACATTTTCTCCTAAATTTTTCCACTCTCGGTACTATATTGTTCAGATACCATATATATATATATATATTATTCTCTTGTTTCTAACTATATCATAACACCCTGATATGTTCATCCACCACATTTTGCTAACCACTCCCAGTGGCTGAAGCCCAAATTGTTTTCAACTGCCTGTTCTAGTACACATCCCTGTACTAGATTTCCAAGTCTGTGATTTGCAAGTCTTGGCCTTTTCCTGTCTTCTGATCTGCAGCTCCACATTGGCAGTTCCTTGCTGACTGCTTTGGCAGCACCTCAATTCTAGCAAGCTCAAAGTCATCTTTGTTTGTGTGGAAGGGTTTTTTAAGAATAGAAATCATTATTATTTGTCTTCATATTTCTGGCACAAATAGGTCATATTCTCTGACTTTTCCTCCTATTAGAACGGCAATTTTATGTCATCTACATTGAAATTCTAAATGCTGAATCATCACATTGATTCATTCCTGCTTCTTATCCATATTTGTCACTAACCTAGAAATCATTCTTTTGTGCTGTCTCTTGGATGCACAGTATTACTACTGACACTTGTTTTATATTGTGTACTAATGTAAGATCCTCCCAACTGCTTTGTCTCTCTCTGGTTCTTATACATTCACATCCATCTTTCCTACCGCCCACCACAAAATATTCTAAATTGTGCTACCAGACCAGTTGCTAAATCATCTTCTCTGTTTACTGCTTTTAAATGGTTCCAATTTACCTATATGTCAAATCCAAATCTCTTAACAGGAAACTCAAAACTATCAGCTAGTTGCATCTCCTCTTTAATGATAAGAATATTTAACACTATACAGGACTATAGTGCTAATCCAACAGTGACATACACATGTTTTTTGTACATTAGCAGATATAATCAAAAGGAGTCAATAGAATAGAGTAGTTAATAACAAGCTCTGTGGCCTTCTGCCTGAGTTTAGATACCAGAATAACTACTTTTTAGTTAGATGTTGGGCAACGATTTTGAATCTGTTATTGAACAATTTGTGGGTAATAAAAATAATTGCTTCATCAGCTAAGAACAATTTCCAGCACATAATTCACCATTTTACAATGAGCCCAGGTTAATAATATAAACTAAATTAACTTTTTAAAAAACGAATCTGAAAGCTATGAGAAAAGAAAATGAAAGCAAAAATATTGGCTCTGGAGCTGGGTGGTGTTAATCCCAGCACTTGGGTGGCAAGCGGCAGGTGGATCTCTGTGAGTTAGAGACCAGCCTGGTCTACAAGAGCAAGTTTCAGGATAGCCTCCAAAGCCACAGAGAAACCCTGTCTTGAAAAACCAAAGCAAACCAAAACAAAAAAACCAGAAATACTGGCTCTGAAATTCCATAAGCTGGCCTTTGCTTTCCTCTTTGCTCATTAATTCAACTTCTCTTTCCCTTTGAAGGAATGGAGACATGAGCCCACCCTAGACCCATATCCGGTCCTTAAAGCTCATTCACTTTTTCGTGCCAATGTGCCTAAAACCTAGGGTCACATATCCTTGAAATGTCCTTTTCATTCATTCTACTAATTCAATCTCTCTCTGCTCCCTTCTTGTGAAATAATAAAAGAAGGTGGCAGGTTCGAACTAGAGTCCTGAATCCACCAGTTATTAGCTGGGCAACTTTGGGCAAACTGTTCTCTGAGCTTCAATTTCTTTATCTAGAAAATGGATACAGAAAAAGAAGCTGATTGATAAGATGAGAAGGAAATCGTATATGAGGCATATAAGTACTTAATATCCAGTGCTTGCTACATAGTAAGGACTTACCAGATGATTTCCTACATTAGCTTCCTGAGCTTGTCTTAGCACAGTGTTTCTCAACCTTCCTAATGCTGTGACCCTTTAACACATTCCTCATGTTGTGCTGACCCCCAACCACAAAATGATTTTCATTGCTACTTCATACCTGTAATTTTGCTACTGTTATGAATCATAATGTAAATATCTGATATGAAGGACATATGATATGCAATATCTGTGACCCCCAAAGGGCTTGAGAACCACTGGTTCAGGAAAAGTGGTGAAGGATTGCCTTCCACTAAGGTGCTACTCAATGTGTCACAGTAATCCATTGAGATGCAGCTAATGAACTATCCTGTCTAACTTCATTTTTTAAACTATTTTTAAATTTTCTTTTTATTTTATTGGTGTTTTGCTTACGTGTATACATGTGTGAGAGTGTCAGATCTCCTGGAACTAGAGTTACAGACAGTTGTGAGCTGCCATGTGGGTGTTGGGAATTGAACCCAGGTCCTCCGGAAGAACAGTCAGTGCTCTGGATCACAGAGCCGTCTGTTGAACCTCCTAGTCTAACTTTTAACCCCATCCACCCCTTTATATTCTGTGTTAATACTGCAGTTTAGAAATACTTGTACTGGAACACTTGACCACACATTCTGAAATTGCTTATTTATGTAGCTGTCTGTGACTAATATATCCTCAGATAGAAAGTAATCTGCATCTATACTTCTTTGGGTTTGCAGTGCTGTGAGCCTGGTAGGTAGCAAGGTTGGAGTAACCATTGGACGGTGAGTAAATCACCAACAAACAAGCACCTGTTATAATAATGCCATTAATTTCATAATCCCAGAGAAGGTGAGTAGAAATCCATTTATAGAAATCCATTTTGAATGCATGTATGTACAAAAGAAACAGAATCAATTTTGAAGATTTCTGAATTCGAAAGGTGTTATTCTTCGAAAAATACTATTAAAAGTTGAAAATGTTTTCCCCCATTGAACAGATTATTTTATAGCAAAATTTAAAAAACAGCAGTGTAAATTTTCTGCTCATTGCTTTAGATATAATTCTGTACAAGTCAACTTGAAATAGGCGCTTAAAATCCACTCTGGCTCAAAAAGCTTTGACTCACTGGGTCCACAGGTTGACAGAAACCAGGGCGAAAGTCTGATGCCTCTGTCTGCATACTGCATCTGTCTGTCTCCTTTACCTTAGCTGAAAGTACTCAGATCAAATAATTCTCTTTTACGTTTCCTCTTGAGTCACCTTGGATCCCAGGGATGGAACGGAAGAAAGAAGCTACCCTCCAGGAAAGAGGAATAATCCATAACAGTTCATTTTGGAGAAGAAATAATAAGAACCACATTGATACCTCCACACAGTAGGGTTTCTTCAGGTCACCTTATAGGACCAAAGCTGAAATTGTCAAGCAGACCACATCTTGACTAGAGCTGTTTAGTTATATATGCTTCTTGCCCTTTGTACCAATTCTCCCTCTTCTCAGTGTGGATACACTGAATAAATCTCTCTGCTTCCACAATTACTTGTTTCTCTAACTGTCATATTGGTGATATAAACACAGGCTTCAGACCTGAAAACTTCAATTATTAGCCAATGATGCAAAATCTTATGAATCAGAGTCACAGTCAATCTAGGGCAGTGGTTCCTAATCTGTGGGTTGTGCCCCTTTGGCATTCGAACGGCCCCTTTCAAAGGGGTCACATATCAAATATCCTGCATAACAGATATTTACATATCAATTTATAACAGTGGCAAAGTTACAATTATGACAACGAAATAATTTTATGGTTGGGGGTCAGCACAACATGAGGAAGTACATTAAAGGGTCACAGCATTAGGAAGTTTGAAAACCACTGCTCTAGGGAGTCAAACTAGGTAGCCCACTTGCCACTCCTCTTAACAAAGCAGTTTTAGCCAATTTCAAAAGGACAGACCCTTTATTCTGGGAGAAGAAATCAGAACAATAGTCAGGACAGAACTGCACCGGAACTTCAGTTGCTGCCTTTCTCAGACATATTTTTAAACATAAACAGAAATTTTCCTCTGAAAATCTACTTGTGATATTATTCTTCATAGCTAGGGATTCCAATGTGTTTGTTTGTTTGGTTGCTTTGGTTTTTTGTTTGCTTGGTTTGGGTTTTTTGTTTTGTTTTGCTTTTTTAGAAAGAAAACAGAAGTAATGTCTTTAATAATGAACAAATCTAGTTGGGGAACAGCCCCTTGTGCATTACAACATGAAGGCAGGAAGGACACACTCCACGAACAGGAAGATGTTTATCTGTTTGCATGTTTTCACAATGTAAAAGTTCTTTCTCCCTTTCTTCATCCCAGTGTTTCCTGTTGAGCTGCTTCTGCCCATGGGGAAACAAACAACAAACCCAAGAGTTCTTTTAATGAAACCACCAGCCAGGTTCTGAAAAAAAATTTTTTGTGGGTTGGCCATGGAGGCAGAGGTCAGTCTTTTAAGAAACCCTGAAATGTCTCATTTACTCTGTTTCATGAATAAACCCGACATTGATAAGGATTTGTTGGTAGCCCCCTCGGTAAATCAAGGAACTAAGAGTCCCTGCAAGGAGGAAGTAGAGGAGGTGACATAATACAAATGGCTTAAACCAGGCTGAAGAGAAGACAGATAAAAGCAGCTGTCTTTCAAGCCCGGAAGAACTGAGTTGTGTATGCTAGTGTTTCAAATGCGGTGAGGAAACGAACCAATGTCTCTCTTCCTTTCTGGCTCTGAAAAATTCTACTTGTGACCAAGATCCATGTTTTTCAAAGACAAAAGTCAGCTACAGCAAAGTACACCGTACTGTACGCTCGCCAATCTGATGTGTGACTGTCTGAAAATGGGAAGGAAGACATTTCTGAGAAAACCAGACAGTTTATAAATAAGCGGTTTCTAATTTTATTCAGCTTGAGATACCTATGTCCTAATCCCTCTTTCCTCCCTCCCTCCATTTTCTTGTGGAGTCTGTTACTTTCTTTTCTGTCCCTGCTGGCTTCTGTCCCTTTCCTGTTATACCAATGGGCTTTAAATATTCACTCCTCTGTAAGAACAAACCCACACATTGAAATTAGAAAAGCGATCCCCACCTTTTCTGCTGCTCCACTTCACAGATCCAAGAAATCAAAGAAGTTAACAGCTGAACTGAAAGTGTAAGCAAAGGGGAAAACAACTTCAAGAATTCAGAAACAGTTCTTTGCCTCAGCAACATCCCCTTTCCCTTCCCACTAGCTTGCCTCTGTGACTTTTTTTCCGCTCATAAAAGACAGTGTTAGCTCCCAGATGCATCGAAACCAATCAAAATGCTTTAAAATTAACCAGATGCTGGAAAACCATCTGAATTTTCTGAATTTCCCCTCAGAAAGAGCTTCGGCTGCCTTTGCAGCTCGGAGCTGCTCTCCAGACACCGGTTTCACGGTAGTTCCTCTCTCAATAGAGAAACAACAGACATGCCTAGCCCCCCGTGCAAAAGCACAAGCCCCAGAATTCCAGAAGCAATGGACTGGAAAGGAAAGACAAGGAGACTGATTGAATAGTTACCTTAAATCTCCAGCCACTGAGGTCCTGCCAAGCAAGGCTTCCCCGCTCTGAGAGCTCAGCTCTACTGAGGAATGCCTTTCGGTTCTTCCTCTCTTGCTGTGTGCATTGGCGCTTGATTTGAGTTTTCCTCTGTAAAACTAGCAGTACTGTAGACCCTCCTCCCCTGCTATGACATACTTGACTTCCTCTAGGGCCGGCCTCCCAACTCTGCGGCCTGAGGAAGAAGCAAAGCAAAGCAGAGGAGAGGGGAAGCACGGAAGGGGGAGGGGTGAGAAATAAAGGTGGTGGTGGCGGTGATAGGAGAAATTTTGTTCTTCTTGGTTCCAGCAGAGCAAGTAAACATTTTACAGTGACAATCACATGAACGCTTTGTAAGGGTTCTGTTGTTTGTTTGTTTGTTTCTGAAGCACGGCCTTCTTAACAAGCCCAGGCTAGCCTTGAAATTTACATCCTTCTGTGTCAGCCTCTGGAGTGCTGGGATCACAGGTGTGAACAACCACATCCACTCTGAATGGATTTTTTCAATACAGAATTGGTTAAATTCTGAACTTAATACTAAGTATATTTATTTTAACGCACATAATCCTGCATGTCATATAGTATGCTAAGTGCCAAAAAGTAAGAAATACTGGACATATTTTTTCTCTCTGGAGAAGAAATAAATTTACTGTGACTATTTAACTGTTATGGATAAGGAAAACACAGTCTTGTACGAACAAAAAGGAAGCAATCAAGAGCTAGCTAAGGAAATCTGAAGGCTTCCTGGAGGAAAAACTAAACTGAGTTTTACCAGATGAATTAGATAGAATTAAGTCACAAGAAGAAAGAATTAGTATCGAAGGCAGAAGGGACAGTGTCAACGAAGACAAAGAAGTATGAACCGCACACCACGTATTAGGCACTATACTCAACTTTTTCTTTAGTGCTAGAGTTAAGAAAGTAGGATACCTCATTCATAAAATTCAAGTTAATGTTCTTCAGGCGTGGCAAAAACCAACTAAAAAGTGAACCCCTTATCCATCTATTTTATGTGTGCATTTCTCTCTATATGCACTAGTGAAATAATTGGATTTAAATGTGGATTTTTTTCCAAAAATGAATCAACTTCTCCAAATCTTAAACTTCGTTCTCAGTCAAATAGTAAAACATATTTCTGAGAGGTTGATTTAAAAATGGTTTGGTTTGGAGCGAGGATGTATTTGTAGAAAGCAGGAAACCAGACTGAATAATATTGGGATATTTATTATATATTTGATATATATATATATATATATAAGTATACAGACATATATAATCTTAAGTCAGTTGTATCACTGGTAATTCTAATAACTTAATGAAATTCATTCAATTTCCTCTCATTAATATGTTTAACTGTCTGTGCTGATTGCTTTTGTCAAACTGACACAAACCTAGATATATCTGGGAGGAGGGGATCTCAAAGCAAGAGTTGAATTTTCTCCATCAGATTGCCCTGTAGGAAAATCTGTGGGGGCGTTTTCTTGATGAATAACAGATGTGAGAGGGCCCAATCCTACACAGGTTGGTGTGGGCTCTTTAAGAAAGAAGGCTGAGCAAGCCATGAGGAGCAAGGTAATTAGCAGTATTCCTCCACATACACTGCCTCACTTCCTGCCTCCAGGTTCCTTTCCTGACTTTCTTCAGTGATGAACTTTAACCCTGGAAGTGAAAGATGAAATAAATATTTTCTTTCCCAGGTTTCATGTAGTCATGGTCTTTATCACTGCAGTGGAAATCGAAACAAGACACTGTTTTTGACCTGTAAGCAACTCCTTTCAAGCTCACCAAATGGCATTAGCAGCTTCCCACACTGCATATGTATGCAACAATTTCTAAAGACAGAAGCAAATTAAAAGGCTGTGTTTACAGTCTAATGCGGTCTGGCCATTCATTCTGAGACTAAATTACCTATGTTAGTTAGACATTTCTTTTTAAAGTAGTAAAACCCTCTCCAGAAAATTTTCCTGTTTTTCCAGACATTCCTACAGATCACATTCACCCTGATTATGTTATATGCAAGGAGAATGTAACATCATTGGCTTAATCTATTTTAAATCATTCTCTGGGCTAGGGAATGATGCAGTTTCCTCCGGTGAGTATTATGGGAAAATCTGAAAAAGTAATCTGGGGTCAAATTTCCAAGTGGCAGCTAAGTAGACAATAGTGTTTACAAGCCATTGCTTTTCCCCCCTTGGAGCTCTCTCCCTCCCTCTCCACCCCCTCTCTCATGTGTGTTTGTGTGTGTGTGTGTGTGTGTGTGTGTGTGTGCATGTATGATGTATCTGCACATATATGTGCAGGTGTGTACCTGCAGAGGTCAGCAGAGGATGTTAGGTGTCCTGCTCTGTCACTGTCTCATTCCCTTGAGAGAGGATCTCTCACTGAATTTCTGAACTTTGAGAGTCAGGAGGTAAATGAACTTCACATATCCAGGAGAGAGGAAACTTTCAAGATTTAGGAGGGCCCCTTTCCAAATTAGAGAATCAGTGAGCAGCTGCTAGGGGAGGAGAGGTCTGCTAAGCTGCTAATGGAAGATCTTTCAGACCTGTCAGGGTGCCTGTGCGTGTGTGTATGTGTGTGTGTGTCTGTCTGTCTGCCTGTGCATGTGTGTATGCACACATGTGCATGTCCATGTGTGTGCATGTGTGTATAGGTGTGCGTATGTGTGCATGGGTGTGTATACATGTGGGTGTGTGCATGTCGGTGTGTGCATGGGGTGTGTGCACCTGTGCATATTTATGTGTGTGCTCATGTGTGTGCATGTGTGTACATGCACACGTGCATATGTGTATGTGTGTTTGCATCCCCCCAGGAAATGTCTCTCACATCAGAGCAGCCTCTCAGGTGCTCTCAGGAACCCATTCCTGGCTGGCTCTGCTTTAACTGCTCCTGAAGCAGCCAGGTTTGACTTGTGTTTTGATAGGATCTGGAGAATAGCTCTTGGAATTGCTGTTACTTTTGAAGAAGTGGGTGTCGTGAGCAGATTCTTGTATGAGAAAAATTATAGGGGAAAAGAGACATGCAAAATCCTCATAGTGCTCATCTGAATTTAAAACTAATGGAGTACAATCATTAACTCCTAAATCATTTGCCAAAACGATTTCTTGTTCATAATAGATAATGTGTGGCTTTCAAAGCAGTGCCATTCTTTGTAGCAGGAATTTTCACACATTGGCACCTATATTCTGAACTCTTAGTGAGACAGAGTTGCATAGTGAAACTCTGTCTCAAAAGAAAATGGTGCTCTCCTCACCATCCCAGACTTGCTTCAGTCAGGCCTTCACATTGCCTAGCATGCTGACCAGGGACCATTGCTGTGGGTCAGCTCCATCCTGAACTCCACTTTGAGTTAAATGTTATAAATGATGTAAGGTCTGTTTCAAGTTTCTGACTTTGATATGTTTATGTCAAGTTGCTCCAGCAGTCCAATAGTCCCCACCATACTGACATTCATCCTTTGCCAAAGACCTAATTCCGAATAGTTGAAGTAATCTTGACCTAGAACAAAGCTGCATGTAACACCTTTTCTGATTTTAAATTATGTGGAAATCACTGATAATTATGTCACTGTAGTACTGGAATAAAACCTGGTTTCTAGGACAATGGAACACAATAGAAAGGCAGGCACAAACCCAAGCGTACATAATCAACCAAGTCTCAAAAAAAATACACCAAGAATACACAGGAAGAATTGATATTTTTGTCAGATAAGTGATTGTCTCAGTTAGGGTTTCTATTTCTTGTGACAAAACACCATGAACAAAGGCAAACTGGGGAGAAGGGGGTTTGTTTCACCTTAGGGATTCACATCACAATCCATCATTGAAAAAAGTCACAGGGGGATGAAACTGAAGTAGAAGCCATGGAAGAGTGCTGCTTCCTGGCTTGGTCACCCTGGCTTGTTCAGACTTCTGTTTTTTAGTGGGACCACCAGCCCAGGGATGGCACCATCTCCAGTGAGCTGAGCCTTCACACATTTAATTATGATTAGTCAAGAAAATGCCCCACAAGCTGGTCCACAGGCCAATTTTATGGAAACGTTTTCTGAGCTGTGGTTCCCTCTTCTTAGATATCTCTAGCTTGTGTCAAGTTAACAACAATAACTACTACAGTGATTTGGGGATAACAAGATCTTCATATGTAAAGAAATTAGATCTTTACTGTACATCATACATAAAAATCAATTCAAATTGGAATGAAGATTTACTATAAGGTCACAAACTAGAAAAGAGAATAAAGATTCCTGAGCAATAATTTTCAGACTCAACATCCCAGACACAGACAATGAAAGCTGAACTAAACCAGTGACACGCTGAAAACCATTTTTTTGCACAGAAAAGGGAATGATTAGCAGAACGGAAGGCAACCTACAGAATGGAAGAAATCATTTGTAAGCCATACACCCAGTAAAAGTAAATGTAGAAAATGCACAAGTAACTCATTCGACTCAACAGCAGAAGCAAACCAGTGAATTAACAGAGCCGTAAATAACCCAATTTTAAAACTAGACAAGAGGAAAACCAAATCAGATGCAGGCATAGCCAGCAGAGGGCCATCTACCTAGGACCAAAGATGGCAGTAGCTCTATACTCTATGTCAGTCACCAGTCATAACTAATTAAGCATTGTATGTTGCACTGAATCAGTGAGACTGAAGCTGAATCTGACACAAAAGAATAGTGCTGGGGGTGGCCTCCGATCAGTTTATGGACATGCTATTCCAGGACTCCATTGCCTCAAAGAAAGTGAAACTCCAACTAAGCTATACCACAAACATATCCAGAACTTTAAATTATTACAAGTAGTTTTCAGCAGGATGGGTGTAAAAAATCATTTTGGTAGAAAGATTAGTAAAGGGAAAGTTCGAGGGCAACTTTGAATTTGTCAGATAGTTCAAGAAGCTACTAAGTCGGTAGCTCCTCCAAATCCAATCCTGCAGTCTCATTCACAGCTCTGTAGCAGAACACTTGCTGTGGCTTCCCTTCCTACCCTGCCCCCATCTCCAGTGGATTTTGTAGATCTTCCCCTTAAATCCCCCTCCCCACCATCAATACCACTCACCACTTTATCTCAGCTCCAAAATCCAGCAGGCATTACCTGGGAACCCACCAGGAAAGCCTGCCAGAGAATCAAGTGGGCAAGTAAAACAGGCAGGAAATTTCAGTTTCATTCTCCTTTCTCTCCCACAAGTCCAGTCTCAAAGTTTTATGCCCAGCTCTGAAGCAAACTACCTGTTATAGCTTCCCCTCCTTCCCTCCCTCCCTCCCTCCCTCCCTCCCTCCCTCCCTCCCTCCCTCCTCTCTG